AATGAATCCTGCATGGAGTTTTGGAATGAGTTGATTCAATAAAGTAATTCCACTTCAATAAGGCAGCCCCATGCTGCTGCCGAATCACTGGCAAAAAGCTGTTGACCAGTAACTATATGTTAATGCTTCCCTCGAAAGTAATACTGCCATAGGTTAAGACTAAATTCCAGGTCACATCTGCAGCACAGTCAAAAAAGTGAGCAAGTTTATAAACTGCATTTGGATGTATTCTCTTATGGCTACATCTGGACGTTCCTGCTGAAGTCTGTGATGATTGTGCAGGCTTTCTGGAGGAAAACACAACCTGGGTCCAGCCTTTGTTTTCTCTTTCTGCAAGAGCCTTTCAATCTTTGCTCTATTGTTTTCTTTCATAATCTCCTTATTTTCAACCTCTCAGCTCATTGTGCAGATGTGGTTGGAATCTGCTCTGTCTTGGACTGTCGTTGATAGACCGCGACAGCCAAGGACACCAGCTGGAAGTTTTCAAGGGTGTCTGGTTAGTGGGTGTTAATACTAATGTGAGGCCAAAACAGGATAGAAGCCAAGCTATGGATGGTCAATACACATTGCTGATGTCACCCCATGAGCAGGAGAGTAAATCAGCTGGATCTGAAAGGCCTGAGAAGGGTCATGAAAGCAGGTCAGGCAAATGTTCCTGTCATGGTGTAGTGCTCCTGAGAGAGGCTTAGCACTCTGATGGAAATTTCCCATTGCCATCCCCCCTCGGATGGTCAATACACATTGCTTATGTCACCCCATGAGCAGGAGAGTAAATCAGCTGGATCTGAAAGGCCTGAGAAGGGTCATGAAAGCAGGTCAGGCAAATGTCCCTGTCAGGGTGTAGTGCTCCTGAGAGAGGCTTAGCACTCTGATGGAAATTTCCCATTGCCATCCCCCCTTTATTCTTCATGCAGGTATCTGGACTCTGCTCACTTGGTTCCCATTTATCAAATGTCCTACCCCATAAAAGACCCTCTGCCCAGATATGTGGGTTGTTTGTTGTCTTGGAACAGGTCTGCCTTCATCGCAGGGCTTGGGGTCCCCTGGCTGGAGTTGGTCTCCATTAAGATGGAGCTCATCCTGGGATTTACAGTCCCAGGGGATCAAGATTCCAGAAGCGGAGCTCAGGACTGCACCTGCTTGCTGACACCAAACTCCAAGCATTGGAAACGGTTCCCAATGCCCCTCACGTCCCCCATGCTGCCTTCCATAAATACAGGCCCGTGTGACGCGTCATCCAGGCAGTTCCCTCAACTGGTCCTGAGCACGTTTATTACCAACTGGTAGCAACCATTGGAGAACACAGTCACGCACAGGGTCCCCATTCTAAAAAGCACCTCTGAGCTGTGTGTGTATGTGCATGCACGCGTGTGTGTGTTAGTGTTGTTGTCTTAACCACCCAAACATTTTAAGGTATCCTCTCTAGAATTAATGTTTAAATGTTAAAGAAAATTATTATTATTATTTTTTTCCTTTTTGTCTTTTTTACTGACCAGTAACGGGATCGCAACCCTCGGTGTTGCGCCCGCACCACGCTCAGACAGTGAGCGGGAACTGGTCTCCACATGGGATCCGAACCCTCGCCGCCGTGCTCTCAAGCAGCGCACTCTCCAGTGCACCACCGGGCCGACCCAGGAAAATTATTTTTATGCAGTGCCAATATTTCATTCTTCCAAATGCATTTTTATGCAGTCTAGATTTAATCTTCTTTAATAGGAAATTATTTGAATTGATTTTATAGTTAATGTGAAATAAAGGGCCATGACTAAGTATGAAAGCACAATGATTGTGGTCTGGTCTTTTTTTTTTAATTCAAAATATTTTAGCATTTACTTGTATGTATGTGTGAGGTACCATGCGTTGTTTCAGTACACATGTATACATACACTGTGCAATGCTTCATTAGGGGAGACAGCCGCCATTTCTCTTCCTTTCCCACCCCCAGCCTCTGCTAACCTTACTCTACTCNGATATCGCATGGTGGTTTTAATTTGCATTTCCCTGATGACTAGTCTTAACAAATTTTTTAAAGATTCTCTGTATGGTCTTGAGAGAGTCACAAAATTGCTGAGCCTTAAAAAAAGTACTGCTTAAAAAATAGCAAAATCCCTGCTCAAATGGTACAGATGTTTTACAAACGAAATTAGATAAAAATTATAAAATTATTTAGTAACCCTATTGGACTATCTAAAAGTAAGGAAGTTATGGTGCAGTTAGCATCCTCTTTATGATTGATTTTAATATTCTGGACCATTTAGTTGCCTTCCTGTAAATTTCCATAAGGATAGGGGTCATATTTGAATGCCTGTGTTGTATACAGTTGTATTAAAACATTTAGCACACTGTATGGCCCATTGAAGACAACAAATATTAGATACTGAACAAATAAATCCTGTAGATGAAAGTTTTCCAAGGAAAAGGTAGTAAGCCACTAGTGGATCATAAACTGAATTTAATGGGCCATGCAAACATTAAAGAAAATGAGTGGAACAGAATGAAAAGAGAAACATTAGTGTAGTATACTGGTAAAGTTGAGAATTATTTTGTTATTATTTGTTATAAATGTGTATATGTATTCTCATATGTATGAATCCTAAGGTATAATGCGTTTATACTTCTTATGTGGAGACATGGTCAAAAAGTTAAAAAAAAATATTTTGCTAGAGAAGAGGAATTCAGATTTTTCTTTTTTTTTTTTCGTTAAATTTTTATTTTGTCAATATACAATGTATATGATT